GTAGGGGAAGGATAAAGTTAATTGTTCCTGTTGGGTACAATGAACACTATTTGGATGATGGGTACACTAAAAGCCCCAACTTAAGCATTATAAAGGGTATCCATGTAACAAAAGCATGTGTAGGCTCAGTGCCTGCAGCTCAGCGGCTAGGGTGTCAGCCACATACACTAGAGCGGGTGGGTTTGAATCCAGCCCAGGCCTGCCAAACAACAATAACAACTACAACAAAAAAAATAGCTGGGCATTGTGGTGGGTGCCTCCCTGTAGTCCTAGCCACTTGGGAGGCTGAGGCAAGAGAATCATTTAAACCCAACAGTTTGAGGTTGCTGTGAGCTGTGACACAACAGTACTCTACCAAGGGTGATGGCTTGAGACTGTCTCAAAAACAAAACAGAACAGAAAAGCATTTGTACCCCCTTGATATTTTGAAATTAAAAAATATTTAAAGGCTATCTACGTGTAAATAGCTATCTGTCTATCATCATCATGTTATCATTTGGCAGAAAGATACCAGAAGGAAATAAAACCTTTGTTGGTCATCAGCTATGCGCCAGGCAGTATACTAGTGTTTTACCTTCATTCTCATTTAATGCTTACGTCAGAGCTATGAAGTAGATTAGAAAACAGACCCTGAGAAGTTAAGTAAGGTCTCATACTAATAAATGGACACCGTGGTGGTAACTCCTCTCTGTAACTCCATCCTGTACTCTTGCTTTGCATGACACCAGACAGCCAAGAGTTCAGCAATTTTACTACTAGATAAGCTTGGAATATGCTTTCACGACTGTTGGGGACCTTGTTTCCAATAACCATTTAAAGGAATATCATCTACATGTTTAGTTGTTTTTTATATATATATATATATTATATATATTTTTTTTAGACAGAGCCTAAAGCTGTCCCCCTGGGTAGAGTGCCGTGGCATCACAGCTCACAGCAACCTCCAACTCCTGGACTCAAGCGAGTCTCCTGCCGCCGTCTCCCAAGTAGCTGGGACCACAGGCGCCCGCCACAACACCTGGCTATTTTTTTTTTTTTTTTTGGTTGCAGCTGTCGTTGTTTGGCGGGCCCAGGCTGGATTCGAACCCGCTACCTTAGGTGTATGTGGCTGGTGCCTTAGCCACTTGAGCCACAAGCGCCGAGCCAGTTGTTTTATATATTGTATCTGTAATTCCACTTCCTTCCCATTCAAAAGCATATTACAGAATTTTAAATGATGTAAGTGGGACCTAGATTCAAAATATTTGAATGTGTGGGGTCCTATTAATAGTTTTCAGAATTGAGTTGACTTCATAATTTCAAAATCACTGTTGTAGCCAAGTGAGGTGGCTCACATCTGTAATCCTGGCAATTTAGGGGGCTGAGGCAGGTGGGTTGCTTGAATACATGAGTTCTAGACCAACCTGAACAAGAGGGAGACCCTGTCTCTAAAAATAGCCAGGTGTGGTGGTGGGCATCAGTAGTCCTAGCTACTCAGGAGGCTGAGGCAAAAGGATCACTTGAGCCCAAGAGTTTGAGGTTGCTGTGAACTGTGACGCCACAGCACTCTACTGAGGGTATCAAAGTAAGACTGTCTCAAAAAAATAAAAAAATAAAATGGCCAAGTGCAGTGGCTCACATCTGTAATCCTAGCACTCTGGGAGGGTGAGGCGGGTAGATTACCTGAGCTCACAGGTCAGTACCAACCTGAGCAAGAGCAAGACTCTGTCTCTAAAAATAACCAGGTGTTGTGGTGGGCACCTGTAGGCCCAGGTACTTGGGAGGCTGAGGCAAGAGAATTGCTTGAGCCTAAGAGTTTGAGATTGCTGTGAGCTGTGACACCAGGACACTCTACCAAAGGAGACAAAATGAGACACTTTGTGTCCAAAAAAATAAAATCAACATTATAATTATTGAAGTCATTACTCTTCAGATTAACTGGGGCTTTAAGCCTAAACTTCATGTGGTTACATATCCTAAGTGCTACTTAGAATAGAATTGATTATTTTAGTTAGCTTTTGGGCTAGAATTTCTGGCCTCAAGTGATCTCCTCAGACTCCCAGAGTGCTAGGATTACAGGTGGGAGCTGCTGTGCCCAGCCTATAGTCACATTTTGGGGAGCATGCAAAATTACCAAAGTAACTTGAATGTAAATGTACGTTAACTTTAAAGTTTTTTTTGGCAGTTTTTGGCCAGGGCTGGGTTTGAACCTGCCACCTTCCAGCATATGGGGCCAGTGCCCCACTCCTTTGAGCCATAGGCACCACCTGTTTTTGGTGTTTTTATATTGAAAGTTGGGTCATTTGGATAGGAAAGAGGGACATTTTATAAATGTCAAACCCCCATTTATACCCATTCAAGGGGCCTGGACATGAGAGGTGAGGGCCCATATTATATAGGAACTTATTTTCACAAAGGTTCTTCCAAGAGGAATTCCTGTGTTGGTTGTTAGCATGGCAAAGTAGAGAATTTTTCAGGCCAGATATGGTGGCTTATGCTTGTAATCCCAGTAATTTAGGAGACCAAGGCAGGAGGATCACTTGAGGCCAGGAGTTAGAGACAAGCCTGGACACAAAGTGATACCCTGTTTCTACAAAAAATAATTTAAAAAAATAGTGGGCTGGGTGTGATGATTCATACCTTAACCCTAGCAATCTGGGAGGAAGAGGAGGGATTACCTGAGCTCAGGAGTTACAGACCAGCCTGAGCAAGAGTGAGAACCTGTCTCTAAAAAAAATAAAAAAGTAGAAAAATTAGCCATGGTTAATATGGCTGTAGTCCCAGCTACTGGGAGGCTGAGGCAGGAGGGTCACTTGAGCCCAGGAGTTTGAGGTTGCTGTTAGTTGACTCCATGGTACTCTAGCCTGGAACAACAAAGTGAGTGTCTGTCTCCAAAAAAAAAAAAAAGAAAGAAAAAAGGTGTTGTCATACCTGTAGTCCCAGCTACTCACATTTATGATAAGCTGTAATCAGGCCACTGTACTCCAATGGGGTGACAGAGTGAGAATTTTCCATCCTGTTACATGGTGGCTGAGCATACCAAGTTCAAGCTTTATTGAGTCCTGCTTCCTGAATAAAGTGTCAGAAACCTAAAAAATGATTATACATGTAATTTTACCTAAATCAATAATTTCAGTTTTTTTTGTTTTTGTTTTTGTTTTTTTGAGACAGAGTCTTAACTCTGTTGCCCAGGCTAGAATGCCATGGCGTCAGCCTACCTCACAGCAACCTCAGACTCCTGGGCTCAAGCCTGCAGAGTAATTGGGACTTTAGTTACCCACTATAACTCCCCCCTGATTTCCCTTTTTTTTTTGGAGACAGAGTTTCATTATGTTGCTCTCGGTAGAGTGCTGTGGTGTCACAGCTCACAGCAACCTCCAACTCTTGGGCTTAAGCGATTCTCTTGCCTCAACCTCCCAAGTAGCTGGGACTACAGGTGCCCACCGCAATGCCCAGCTATTTTTTTTTGTTGCAGTTGTCATTGTTGTTTAGCAGTCCCAGCCAGGTTCGAACCTGTCACCCTCAGTACATGTGGACGGCACCATAACTGCTATGCTACAGGTGCGGAGCCTGGTTTTCCTATTTTTAGTAGAGATGGGTCTTGCCCCCCTCTTTTTGTTTCTGGAAACAGTCTCTTACTCAGTTGCTGAGGGGGGATGAGTGCCGAGTCTTGCTCTTGCTGGCCTCGAACTTCTGAACTGAAAGGAAACTCTGGCCTTGGTTTCCCAGAGTGATAGGATTTACAGGTTTGAGACACCACATCTAGCTAATTTTAGCTTTTTTCTTTTTCTTGCTAGCCTGTTCCCTCTATTTTTTAAATTTCTTTTTTTTTTTAAATTCAGATTAATTGAGGGCACAAATGATTAGGTTATCCTGGTTGCCTTTGTTAGGTAAAGTTCGAGTTGTAATTGAGTCCTTCACTCACGGAGTGTGCTATATACCCTTACGTTATATCCATTAGGTGAGAGCCTACTAAGTTCCCTCCTTCTCCTCTCCCCTTTCTCTTCTCCCCTCTCATCCCCTTTCTCTCCTCCCCTCTTGCCCCCTTTACCTCCCTTGAAGTAAGTTGCATTTTTCTTTCCTGTGGACATGTAGTTGTTTATTGGTTTCATATTAGTATTACATATATTGGATACTTTTCCATTCTTATGATACTTCATTAAGAAGAATGTGATTCGGCTCTATCCAGGTTAATAAAAGATGTAAAGTCTCCATCTTTTTATGGCTAAATAGTATTCCACGGTACACATATACCACAGTTTACTAATCCATTCCTGAGTTGATGGGCACTTGGATCAATTCCATATCTTGCTAATTATGAACTGAGCTGAGATGAACATCCTAGTGCAAATGTCCTTGTGGTGAAATGATTTTTTTCTCCTGGGTAGATACCTAGTCATGGGATTGTGGGATCAAATGGAAGGTTTACTGTTAGCTCTTTGAGGATTTTTCCATACTTCTTTCCATAAAGGCTGTATTAATTTGCAGTCCCACTAATAGTATAAAAGTGTTCTCTTCTCTCCATATCCACAACAGCATGTGCAGCCTTGGGACTTTGTGATGTGGGCTGTTCTCACTGATATCTCGGTTAGGTGATATCTCGGGGTGGTTTTGATTGGCATTTTTCTGATGATTAGGGATGATGTAATTTTAGCTTTTGATACTTGTATTTTTGTTACCATGAACTTTTTTTCCCCAGATGGTTTCATGTTATATGTAAAGACAATGTGTAACCTTTAAACCCTAAACAAATGCAGAGGTACATTTTTTTCAGGTGTAGACCTTTAATATTTTATTTATAGATCTGCCTGTCCATAAATAACTGAATTTTTGATTGGTCTTAGTTTAAAAAAAATCATAGTTTCTTTCACTTTTACATAAGTTTTGAGGATTTATAGGGAGTTCACAGCATTGTAATATGTTTATCCTTTTCTAAATTTGTAAATAAAATTCATGAAATCGCTTTCTTCTTGCCATTTTCCCAGCCTAACAGATTATTTCAATTGTTTCTCCCTCCATAGTTAATAGAGAAGAGGAAACTTAACCAGGGACTGTGGAATAATATGGAAGAAGGTGGAAAAAACTTACTTAATGGGTAAGAAATAAACCTATAATAAGACATTTTTAATGAAAACTCTTCGTAGTATTAGGTATGGTCAATCTGTAGTATGTGGCTGAGGTGGGTATACTGTTAAATGATTTATCACTCTTTGTTTTATCCCTGTTCTGAACTTTCATCACTTGCTTCCATCTACACTTTGTGAATTTTCCAGTACCTTGAATTACCTTAAACTAAGAGGGGATATAAACATATTCCAAGATAAAATGGGACCTGGAGACCAGCAACCATACTAAAACAAGTCTAGGATAGGTCTTGAGACATATTGGTGGTTGGATAGGGACCATGTCTGTTGTGACCCGTAAAGAATTGTTCACTCATTGAATAATTCACAATTCAACTCTTTCTTTTTCTCCAAATACTATCAACTGTTTTAGTTTTATTTATTTTTATTTTTTATTATTTTTTTGGAGACAGAGTTTCACTTTATTGCCCTCAGTAGAGTGCAGTGGCATCATAGCTCACAGCAACCTCAAACTCTTGAGCTCAAGTGATGCTCTTGCCTTGGCCTCCCTAATTGCTGGGACTACAAGTGCCTGCCACAATGCCTGGCTATTTTTAGAGATGAGGTCTCACTTTTACTCAGGCTGGTCTTGAACTTGTGAGCTCAGGTGATCTACTCACTATGGTCTCCCAGAGTGCTAGGGTTATAGGCATGAGCTACCACACCCAGCCTCGACTGTTTTGATGTTAGTCTCACTATGGGGATCCTGTTCGTTTGAGCAAGTGCGGATGTGTGTCAGGTGGTAATCAAATAGAATTGTACAGAGAGAATCCCCAATAAAATGTTCACAAAGTGTTTAATTACTTAAGTCTATCCATTCTTATTGTCAATAATTCAAACATTATAGATAGCCAAAACCCTCTACCTGAACCTTAGCCCCTCTCAAGGGTATATAAATATATGGCATGTATTTGTGCAGTGTTATTTGCCTAGTGGTTCAAAGCATGGGTTTGGAGCCAGACTATTTTTAACTAGCCACTATTAATTTGACATTTGAGCAAATTAATCTCTGTATGCCTCAATTTCTTGGGTATAAGGTGGGGACAACTAAATGCCTATCTCACAGTGATGATGAGTGTATTAGTTATTCCATGTAAAAACTTTAGTGTCTGGAACATGATAAGTGTTCAGTAAACATTAGCTATTATTCTCATATGCAGAGGGTGCCAAAAAATGTAACATATTTTAAGAAAGGAAAACACTGTATTAAAATTATAATATGTAATATATATTCATGTTTGTTATTGTGTATATTGTATCCTGTATGTGTATCTCTTGTAATTAGAGAAATGTGATTAAGTATTATAGTTTTAGTACAGTATTTTCTTTTCATAAAATGTGTATACATTTTTTTGGAACACTCTGTATATCCTAGTTAGCATTTTTATGTATCTACATGTGAATTTTCCTCTGAAAAACTCTAAAAGTTAAACCATCTCAAATAAGGTTAACTATGCTAGCAAAAGATTGAAAAATATTTTTACAAATATATATTCTTTGGCTTCATTTCTAAGTATGCTGCTGTATTGTGTGTAAGTGGAGAGTTATACACCTCTTACTGCATATCTTCAGACTATCATAATTTTCTTGCCTGTAAAAATATTTTGTCAAAGCAGGATGCACAATTCCCACGTTTCTAGGTAGCTGTGTCAAACGTTCTGTTAAGATTCCACCAATCTATTTGGAAGGACATGCCATCTTGAGTTTTCTTTTCTTGTTGCACAGAATCAAAGTAGTTTTAAAAATGTCTTTGAGCTTTTCATGGCTTGTCAGTACTTTCTTAGGTGGTACAGATCATTACCTATTTTAAGAAGGAAAGATATTGGCTTGGCGCCTGTGGCTCAAGCGGCTAAGGCACCAGCCACATACACCTAAGGTGGCGGGTTCGAATCCCCAGCCCGGGCCCGCCAAACAACAATGATGGCTGCAACCAAAAAATGGCCAGGCGTTGGAGCGGGCGCCTGTAGTCCCAGCTACTTGGGAGGCGGAGGCAGGAGACTCGCTTGAGCCCAGGAGTTGGAGGTTGCTGTGAGCGTGATGCCACAGCACTCTACCCAAGGGGATAGCTTGAGGCTCTGTCTCAAAAAAAAAAAAAAAAAAAAAAGAAGGAAAGATATTTGGAAAAAATATATACTTTTAGTATTTTCTTCTTGAATTGTTCTGAACCTCTATTAGATTGTTATAAACTATCTGCTGAGACTATAGTGAGGCTGCTTTAGAAGACTAAAATACAAAACCAGATATTAACATTTATTATTTACTATGTGTCTGATGGTGTTTTAAATGCTTTCCTCATTTATTCATCATTTCATTTAACCCTGTCATCCATTTATGAGGTAGATACTGTTGTTATCTTCATTTAAAAAAAAATGAAGAGATGAAGGTTAAGTAACTTGCCCAAAGTCACAATGCAAGTAGCAGCTTCAGGATTTTAACCTGGGTCTATATTATTGACTAGGGAAGCACTGGTCTGGTTCATAAACTCTTAGAAGGTTTGCTAGGGTGGGTGTAAATTGAAATAAGGCATGAAAACTAAAGACCTCCTGGAAAAGTTGTCATAAATAATTTGTTTTTACTTGCCTGTGGGAATGAAAATTTGAAATTATATATTTTCTTCTTCTTTTTTTTTAAGACAGAGTCTCACTCTGTCCATTGGGTAGAGTGCCGTGGCATCAAACCTCCTAACTACCTCAAAAACTCTTGGGCTCAAGCTATCCCTTGCCTTAGCCTCCTGAGTAGCTGGGACTACAGGTGCCCACCACAATGCCTGGCAAGGTTTTCTATTTTATTAGTAGAGACGGGGGCTCACTTTTGCTTATGCTTGTCTAGAACTCCTGAACTGAAGCAATCTACCCACCTCAGCCTACCAGAGTGCTAGGATTACAGGTGTGAGCCACCATGCCCTGCCTGAAATCATGTACCTTCTTAAATATAGGAAAAATGATGATGTGAGATGATTATTCAAAAATAATTATTTTTCTTTACCATGCTTAAATGACAATTGCTGTTTTGCTTTGTTATGAATCATTTGTAGTAGATAAAAATCACCTGAACTAGCTATAGAACAATACATGTTTAGAAGGGATTAGAGTGTGTTGATTTGTAAATTACCATTTAGCAGCTATTCATAGAAACAAGCAAACAGAAAGATTGAACTGTACAGCAGTTTGGAACTGATTAATGATTGGAAATTTCTCTTTTGTCCTGTTAAATAATATTTGGATGACAGTCAGTAGAGAGTTGTGCAAGAGAAGAAAAGCCAGAAAGAAGGTGACCTACAGGTCTTATAATTAGAATGTCACTTATAAATGATTCCCTAAAAAGTAAATGTACATTAACAATCGACGCTTATATGGGAACTGGAAGGAGTTATAGTACATGGTTTTTCTTCTGGGGTCTACCTTGTCAGAGAGAAGCACTGACTTTTCTCCTAATGGCAATTCATTTTCTATTGAAATTTGGTGAAGTACAAAGAGTAAGTGACATTTAAAGTACCAAGTATACTGTTAAAATGTCTTGGCCTTCCTGTAAGTATGGCTGCATGTAGTAATCAGTTGTGTTTTCCTCTCTCTATCCTCTTTACTTTTTTTTTTAACCTCTTTCCCTAGCTTGAGAATCTCTTCTGAATGTTGATCAGAAAAGTTATGGCTCTTATTGTGCATGTCTGTTAAAACAGTATCTTAGAAGGTGTTCTAAGAGCTCCTGGGCCCCTTTCAGGGACTGATGGAACTATTTATAATACTAAAATGTTATTTGCTTTTTCCATCGTTATTCTCTCATGAGTGTGCAGTGAAGTCTTCCAGAGGCTACATATATGCAACTGAGTGAATGCAGAAGCAGACAGGAGAATGCAGCCATCTTCCTTAATCCCCATGTTAAAAAGATCTGCTAAAATGTAAAATAACGCTTTTCAAGATCTTCACTAGATTTGCTATGAGCAAAGCACCATGATTTGTTTCTACATCCAAATATTGTAATGACCCCACTGTAGGCTAGAAAGTTATGGTGCCCTCTCCCACTGACAAATACCAAACTAAGAATGCTCTTTTTATGGTTTATTCCCAACTTTAGAAAGGACCATTCAGGACAGACTTTATTTTATAGTATTAAGTGAACACCAGCTATGTTCCAGCCTTGTTCAAGATAAACAAGGCAGTGAACAAGATGAAAGCCAAAAAATATCCACCCTGATAGAGCTTATATGCCAGCTTCCAGTCCAGTTTTTGAGTCCTTTGCACTGGACACAGCTCCCTCATGAGGGGAATCTCAGATTTAATGCCCACTGTGGATCTTAAACACTGACTAGTGTTTCTCAATAGCTGAGTGCTGAGAATAGAGTGGCTTGACATTTTGTGATTTTTTTTTTTTTTTT